CATGGTCATTTGGTTGGCGTTCGTCGCCGCTGGGCTGCTGGCCTACTGTTGCTGTCACTGGTGGAGAAAGGGTTATTACTCCCGGTTCGTAACCCCCCTATAGTACCGGTTTTCGAACCGGAAGTACGAATCCGGGACTAAAGATCGCTATCTTTAGTCCCGGGTGAAAAAACCGGGGGTAAAAACCCATCTTTAGACTAAAGATGCTAATCCGGTTGCTCTTTCCGGTTCCTTTTTATTATTTTCTTTTCTTCATTATTTTTAAATATATTGATTTCACTCTATCCCGTCCCCAAAATCTCAAATCAATCATTCTCAAATTGCCTCCAAATCCACAAATCGATCATCTCAAATACTCAAATACATCACAAAATCTTAAAAAAAAATTACATCACAACTTCTACAAAATTCATCACATATTCACATCACACACAAATCAAATACATCACACAACAATCTCAGATCCAATCAAATACATCACACAACAATCTCAGATTCTTCAAAAAAAAAGGGGAGAAAGCGCTGCCTCGCCGCGCGCAGCCACCGCGCCGGCCCTCCGCGCCCCACCACCAGCCGCCACCGCGCCGCCTCACCGCGCGCCGCGCCGCCGCCGCGCCGGCCGGCCCACCGCGCCCTGCCGCCGCACCGGCCGGCCCTCCGCGACCCGCCGCCCTCGCGCCCCTGCCAATAGGGAGGAGGAGAGGAGAAGGAGGAGAGGAGAAGGAGAGGAATAGAGATAAGGATGAGAGGAGGAGATAAAGTTGAGGAGAGAAGTTAAAGATGAGAGGAGGAGATAAGGTTGAGGAGAGGAGTTAAAGGAGAGGAGGAGGTACCGGCCTCGATCCGATCGCACACACCTCTCCGATCTCCGCGTCGATCTTTACTCCCGGTTGGTTTTACCACCAGGACTATAAATATATCTTTAGTCCCGGTTGGTAACAGCAACTGAGAGTAAAGCGTATGGCGATCTTTTTTCCTGGTTGGTGTTATTAACCGGGACTACAAATAGATCTTTAGTCCCGGTTGGTAACACCAACCGGTACTAAAGATTGAAAAAGTACTCTGTAGCTTTTAAACCGGGACTAAAGATATTTTTAGTCCCGGTTTTTAATACAATCGGGACTATTGTAAAATCTGGTCGACCGACCAAAGATGGTTTCTCCACCAGTGTGTTCATGCTCATGACCGGCATGCTTGACTCCGCCATCCCAACGATGAGCAGCGGAAAGAAGTGGACGGAGGTGATCAACCAGTTCCTCAACGCGCTCTTCACCATCATGTGCCTGTACTAGCAGTCCAGCACGCCAAGATCTTCCACCACCTCGTGCTGCTCCTCCGGTGGCGCCCCGGCACCAGCGACGACCGCGAGGAGATCCACAAGGTGTACTGCAAAGACTGCGCGCCGCGGCCGCACGACCGCGCGCACATGCTCGTCGTGGCAGTGCTGCTTCACGTCACCTGCTCGGCGCAGTACTTCTGCTGCGCTCTCTTCTGGAGCTACGCGTGCAAGGACCGGCTAGGCTGGGCTCCATGATGCCGGCGTGGGGAGAGAAGGAGAGAGAAGGGAGAGAGGGAGGAAAAAAGAGGGAAGGGGAGAGAGGATGACACGTGGGCCCCACATGTAAAGGGTCCCACAATTTTTTTTTAATGTGAATGACAATTGGGTCCCACAATTTTTTACAAATTATAGTGCCACATCAGCGCCACATGGAAGTAAAACCAGGTCAATACTGCCATGTATGCGCCACGTCAGCGAAACCGCCCTCCAAAACCGCTGAGGGAGTCAAATTGAACCGGTTTTAACAGTTTAGGGAGTCAAGATATCTGGTTTTGTGGTTCAGGGTCAGGGTCACGGATTAGATTCGTGTCACTTTTAAGGGAGTCAAATTGAACTTATTCCATTTTGTGGTCCATGAAGAGGCCAGAGCACCAGCCTATCGAAGTTAAGAGATGGGTCCTGAGCGTATCTGGAGGGAGGAAGGAAAATGTTTAATTGAGTCCCTCAAAGATAGTCAAGACTTATTCCTACCCCTCAACCGCAAACTAGGTATAGTGATTTCTTCAACTATTTAAACCATGCAAAATGACTCCCTTAACAATATAGTTGGTGGTTTCACTGACGTGGCATCCATGTGGCAGCCTAGTCATCACGTAATTTTTTTTTTAAAAAAAATACAATGGGGCTCACATGTCATCCCCTCTATCTCCTTACTTTCCTATCTATGTTTATCCCCTTCTCGGCAGTGGTACGACGACTTCTTCCATAGGACGGCGGTGGGACTGTAGCAAAACACGATATGCTCTGGGTACTCCATGCCTCCATGGTGGTGCCACCGCCTTCGTTCGCCTTATCCAAGAACTCATGCAGGCATTCGTTGTCGACCTTGCTTTACATTATATATGGTTTTGTGGTTGAAGGATATGAATTTATCATATCCGACCTATATCGAAGGAGTCAGATTGAACTTTTTCCAACGAGGAATGGGTCCGATCTGAGATTGCACCCACTTTATTAAGGACTCGATTGAATGAGTCGGTATTGAGGCCCATTCAACTGTATTGGCCAAACATTTTAGTATAATGTCCCGCTTATGCATTAGGATGGCGAAAACGCTAATTGGCGGCTAGTTGCGCGCGCCCTTCTTTTTTTCCGTTTCTCTTTCTGTTTGGTTTTCTCCGGTTTTTTTTGGTTTCTCTTTCTGTTTGGTTTTTTCCGGTTTTTTGTTTCTCTGTCTATTTTGGTTTTTCCGTTATTTTGGGGTTCTCTTTCTGTTTTGGTTTTTTTTGTTTCCCCCCCCCTTTTTTTTTCCTTTTTTCTCTTTTCGGTTTTTTTTAACATATACGTATACAAACTTTTTGTATTCATGTATACAAACTAGTTTATATACGTACGTATATAAAGTTTATATACGCACGTATACAAAGTTTGTATACGTTATGTTTTTTTGTTTTTTTTTATTTTTTAATACGTACGTATACAAAGTTTGTACATATTGTATACAAAGTTTGTATATGTGTATATTTTTTATACATCAACAATATATACATATAAAAATATATTTTTTATAGAAATAATACTAGTACTAATAGTAGTAGTGTAATAGTAATAGTAATACTAGTAACTACTAGTTGTATAGTATAGATACTAAGAGGAGTGGGGGGTGGTCGCGCGCGATGGGGCAGGCGCGACCAGTCGCCAGGTAGCCACCCCCTTAGGATGGGGCCAGGATTTATGCACATCCAGGTTTTGAGCTAACGTGCAAGGTTCAGGTTCTTGTACGCTTTGAAATAAAATTCACTTTAGGTCCCTCAACTATAGGTCGAGTTTTATTCACACCACTCAACCATAAAACCGGAGTGTCCCTCAACTTTTAAAACGGGTACAAATTAAATTCCTCGACAATATTGAAAGCGATTTCTAGTTAATGTGACGCCTACGTGGCACGATGATTGCTTGACTTATTAGGCCCATCCCGTGTCGGCATGACCCAACCTTTGCGCCATGCCTGGGCCTCTGTCTCGACACGATGGGCCGATACGGCATTGGCCCAGTCCAACGATCAGGGAGTTAAATAGATGAGAGAGACAAAATAGATTTATTCAGCCATACAAGAAATGACCCAAACAGATGAGGGATGAAAAATAGATTTATTCCAACCATATAAGAGACGGCCCAAAGATATGAGGGAAGCAAAATAGTCTTTTATCCAAGGAAGAGTGCAATGGACTTTCGTGGCTTTGGGCTAGCTCGACACCATCCAAGTCTTATTGGGTCGTGCATAGGCAGATGGTGCAGCAAGTGGATAGACCCGGGGCAGCCCGATGTGTAGGTCGAGTCTGCCGGCTCGACTAATCTCGGCCCGGGCCCGGTTGTGCCTAGGCCAGACGGCCCATTTGGTCATTGATCTATACGTTGGAGTAAGGGCGTGAGACATAGTGGAGAGTGGGGAGGGGGAAGAAGTCACATGTGAAGCTACTAGTTTATTTTTATGCTGACATCGACACCACATGCTGTTCACGTAAACGCCGCATAGAAAAAACCAGTCTAGTTTGTATGAGGGGTGTAAATTAAACAGTTTTATGAGTTCGGGAAGGAATTATGTCGGTTTTAGAGTAAAATGGATTCTTTTAGATAAATGTGGTAGTTGAGGGGGATGATATGAACTTATCCCAGCTCATAATGATATTAATCAATATCAACATAACTGAATGTATCTCTCTGTGAAACCAGTCAACAGTTGGTGCGGTAAGAGCAAGTTTAATACTACTAACTCCAAATCATTTATAGTTAATTTAATAGCTAATAAATATACTACCTCCCCCCTATCATACACATAAATCTGTAGCCCGCTGCTTTTCTCTCTCTTCTTTTATCTTCTTGATATGTGTTTATAACTGGCTTATAGTATGCTATTGTACATGCTATAATAGAGCTACCGAATAGTATACATTTTCCACGAATTTTTGTGTGCAAGAAAACAAAGAACACACGACCAGATGCAAGCCCGTATGAATGACAGCACATGCAGAATCCTATTGCCTTGTTTCTTCCACCTTCGGCACACCAGGCCAACATGTTTGCTGTTGCCAACCTGAAAGAAAACATCGAACTTGCCCGCAACGGCTTAAAAATCCCCTTCACCGTTGCATACCCTTTTTAGCTTTATGACCTGATAAAGTGTACTGTGTACGGATAGTTCTAATATGACGTTTGCATTTTTCTGCGTTGCATTGCTCTCCCAATAGTCCGTATTGTTGGACCAGCGGCGCGTATCATTATAACTCTGCAATTTCCATGATACTTCTAGTTCAAAAACTGGAGATTGCCCTATGAAAAGATAGAAACATAGGATAATGCGACTGCTTATGAGCCAACGTGCTTGTCATTCTCATTGCAACAATGCGACTGATAAACTCGGGGGCCATCACATATTATCCCCGTGTCATTTTTGTCTTCTCACCAGAAGAAGAAGAAAAAAAAAAGGAATTTACAGTCTACAGAGCCAAAAAGAATTGTTCATATGCATTCCCATCATGCTGTCTGTTAGACTGTTACAGACTAGATAATGTATAGAGGACAGAGCCAGCCTTTGCCAGCACAAGTGAACATGCTAAAACATGAGGACCTAATCAAGAAACACATGCTAGGTATATATAAATATTACTACAGTAATACATCTCCTGTTATCTAAAAAACAAATATATAAATACAATAAAACCATCACGAAAATCTGGCATAGGCGAGCTAAAAAAAAATAGAATCCTGCTATACATACGACTAAATCGTACGACTCACATTCGACTCTGCCACATCCACCAATCACCATGTTCGAACTCGGCTATGTCTTAAGATGCTGTAATTAATTCATGTACAACCTTTACTTTCTTTGCGTGGATCTGTTTGATCTGGTTTCATTTACATTTTGCACGGTCTTGGACCTCTTGGTCAGTAATTTTGTCAGTAATGCTATGTACTACCTTTGTCCAGCTAAAATATCTTCTAACCCACCGGTATACCCGCCCCCACCCATCACCAGCCGTTGGCCTTTGCCAGCAAGCGGAGATTGCCCCCACGCCGCTTGGCCTTTGCGGGACGAACAGCGCGGAGCACCGTCCACCCGCCTCTCCTCCGGTTGGCCCGTCCCGCCCCGCGTGTTCCGCCCCGGCCAGGCCGGCGGGTCACTGCTTCGATCGCCCGCTCGCCTGCTCGGCGTCCGTGGCCGCCGCGTCGAGACGGATTGTCGTTGTGGCGGATGCTGCCGAGGTGGCGCATGAGGATGATTTGGTGGTGGAGGTGAGGCCGAGGATGAGGAGCGCCGTGACGACGACCAGCGCGGCGGCCCCGCCGAACACGCCGTTCCTGGCGACGTAGCAGTCGCCGTCCATCCAGCCCCGGCCGTACCGCTGCCCGTGGTTCATGCTCGCCGCGGTCGCCAGCAGGACGACGGCCAGCGCGAAGCTCACCCTGCGTACATCCGGCGCGCGCGCCGCGGGCGGCGATTCAGCGATCCACGCTCGCAGAAATCACGCATTAATTCTTTGTTTGGCAGCCATGGCCGTACTATAGGGCGTACCATGAGAGGACGAGGATGGCGACGGACGCCGCGCGGCGCCTGGTGGTGGACGACTTGCTGCGCTTGGACGCGGCGCACATGGTGGTCGCCGCCGCCGTGGTGCCCACCAGCTGCGCCACGGAGAGGAACGCGATGGCCGCGACGCCCAATTCGAAGGCGGAGCTCTTGGGCAGGGAGCAGAGGCTACCGTCCAGCTTCATGTCCTTCTCCTGCGCACACACACAGACATGATCCAGATCCAAGGGCGTGAGTGAGACCGACCCGCCCGCCACCATTGCCGGCGTCGGAGAGCGCAAGAGCAAGCGAGCCTGACCTTGACTTTGCGGAATTCGGCGGCGAGGGAGCAGGAGAACGCGGTGGCGCAGAGCAGGACGACGATGCCGCAGATGGCGGCCCGGCAGGAGAGCCCCCTGCTCCACTTCTCCATCGAACCCAACCCAACCCAACCCACCCCGAGCCGAAGCAACCCTGTAAACGCCTCGCCCACGGCTAAGTACGTAAAATTCGACCAAATCCCTCTTCCTACCTCGCTTTGCTTCTCCAGAGCATGTCTAACTACTGCATATAAATGAGAGGAAATTCTCCGAACACGTCAAGACGCCAAGACTAATTGGCTGCTCTGAATAATCGAGGAGGGTTGGTGGCCTCTGGATGATGATGATGATGGAAACAGAGGAGGAGAGAGACGGGATGCTAAACAAAACCAAACCACATGGCCCCGTCGACTCATTGGTCAATACAATAGTGGTAATTGTTTAGCAGTTTTATGCACGGATACTAGAAGAAGAAGAAGAACGAGGAAGAGGAAAGGAGAACAGAAGAAAGATGGAATTGGCAAAGATGAGAGGCCCTCCTGATCGATCTGATCCCTGTGTCGATGACTTGACGGGTTGGTAGGCTGGTTTGGTCAACCGGATAGCGCCTGTACTGGTTTGGGAGAAGGTGGCTGATTGGCTAGGAAAGGAAGCCTGCAAGGAAAGAATCACGCTACATCATGGCTAATCGCGTTCGCCCCTGCACCAGACACTACCTAATGGTGCGGCCATTGTTTAAGCCCAAGTCGTGTCACCCATCGTCAGATCAGGGCATCAGGCCACCCAAACGAACAGGAAACACGCATCGACCAATAATAACCGGTGTTTGTGACTGCGTATGCTGCTGCTGCACTGCTGCTTGTGCGGGCAAAAAGGAGAACTACGAATGAGAAAGACCGGGAGGGGAGTGAGGATTGCGACGAATCGCTTTCTTTCTTTCGCAGAGTTCCCCCCCCCCCCCCCCCCCCCTTTTCCTTGACGTTTTCGTCTTTGCGTTCGCTGGGTGGCAGCGGCAGACGGCGAGGCGACGGCGATGTTGTGGCGGGGGCCGTGAGGAATGGATCTCTTCCCGGATGTTTGGGCCGCCCTCTGGTCGGTCACCTTCTGTTGTCGCGTGCGATGCGTGGACTCGGCTTGGGTGGTGGCCTGGTGGGCGCGCGCGTGTGGCCCAGCGTTGGGGCGTGGTGGAAGCGGCATTCTCCTCGTCGGGGCAGACGGATCCATCCGAATCTGGCCGTTTCGTTCGGTCTCCGGTCTCCGCCGCCCATCCACCACCAACTGGATGCGCGCATCCATCATCTCGCTTTCTTCTCTTTGGTTCGTTGATCTAGGTTGCCTTCCCAATCGCCAGTTGATCCACTTGAGTCGTGGGGACGATCGTTTGCGCGCTGCGCAAACGATTTCGCATGGGTCACCGGCTTACGAACAGGCAGAAAAGCTAAACAAATCGTCACGCGTCGCATGTGTCAAATGGACGGACAATGACATTGGAGAAACAAGGCGGCGTTTTTTTTTTTTTCCTAAACTACTCTTCGAGTTCGAGCCTTCGATGGAGGAAGAATGGAAAATGTTCCTCTCGAGTTCTAGCCTGCAATCGTTGACTGCATAACGATGCAGCCGTCACCCGTCAGCCTTGCAAGCAGAAGAGGCAGCCCGACGTGGACTGCTCGCGCCAACAAGCAACGGTATCACATCAGCAAAACCGTGGTCCGCCGCCTCGTATTTTAGGTTCGGGGTTGAACGGAGAAACGGTTGAGAGCCTTACTAACAATGGGGATATTGGATTACGCTATCAAAAAAACAATATTAACCCGGGGATTTCAGTGTGTCTGCTGCTGTTTGGGGTTAGTTGAAAGAGGATCGCCAATTGTGATTGGTTTGGTCGTAGTGGTAATCTAATCGTGGTATTAAGACGATGGGATTAGACCGTGACACATCGAACGTCTCGGTTGATCCCGAATAAAATTGACAACTTTTGAAAACGAAATCATCAATGATCACCCCATCTTTGACACACGACTCTGCTGATCCCAAAGGTTGACATACAGGTACCATATAAAGTACTCTATCCGATATTCTTTAGACGACGGCAATGGATCATTGGATCACATTGTTTTATTTGGTTGTTGAAAAATTTATATCCATATTAATTGGGTGCTCAGAGAAAAAAAAAACACCCACAACTATACCTATAGATATTCCCGAGGAAACTCCTATGTTAACTGAAAATTTTAGTCGTTGTATCTGGAATCATGATTGTATATCGTATTTAGAGTTTTTTAAACAATACATGCAATTAAAAAAATCATCTCTTTTCAACTTCTACCAAACATGTTCAAATAAAATAAGAGTATGTACCAATTACAAACTTGGAAACACTAAACCAAAAATAAAAATTAATATATCTCCAAAAGTCTAAACTGAGTACAACTCGATATTTACAAATTTTAAATTTCAGAATTATTAATTTATGAAATATAGTACATTGAATCTCCAACACAAATACAAATAAATACTCCCTCCGTACTCGTAAAGTAAGTCGTTTAGGACAATGTTTAAGTAAACATTAGGAATATAAATCATGAGTAATTCTCAAGTTGTTGAGTTTGAAAATATAAAAATTATATGAATAAATTTGTCTTGAAAAATACTTTCATAAAAGTATACATATATCACTTTTCAATAAATATTTTTATAGAAATAAGAAGTCAAAATTGTGTTTTGGTGATCGTGTCACTGTCCTAAACGACTTTCTTAGGGAGTACTTATTAATTAAAATTTTAAAAATATTAAATAAAACATACAAACAACAGAAAACATATAGAATAAATTTTGATTTAGTGTTGTATTTAATTCTAAAAATCGAAATTAATAATTAATGAATAGTAATTGACATGGATTATTATTTTAACATGATCTATTTTAATTTGAAAGTTAACAAACATATTTGACATATAATTAAAATTTCAATATCCATGTTATTTAACAAAAAAAAACCCTTGCAATTATTAAAATTACAGTGAACGGGTCGGCAAGTAGTCATCATTTGTTAATTTGTTTCTCTACCGCACAAAAATCCAAAGAGAAAAGTCCAGTTTACTCACCCAAACAATTTCATTGTATTACTTAAACTCCAAAACTATTTTGAACTCATTTTACCCTATAAGCTACTCCCTCCATACCAAATTATTGGGCACCCTTATTTCTAAAAAAAAATTAAACTTGGTAATTTTTGACTAATAATCATGCTAACTATATCGATACCAAGTATTATGCATGTTATATTATTATATTTTCACGTGATGCTAATTTTATATTCATTGGGAACATGACATGAAATAAATTAATGGCCAAAGTATATCATTGGAGATCATGTAAAAAAATAGGCCTTATAATTTGGAATGGAGAGAGTATTAAAAATGGTTCTTTCATTTCTCTTATTTGTTTCTCTTTATACGAGTCATATTTTAAGCTTATATTTTGCAGAGCCACAAATGACACCATTATCAGAGTTCTAAAATAGTTTCATTTTTTTTCAAAACTATTTGCTTGAAATTTAAATTAGTATGAGTGTTTCCAACCTCTACAACAATTAAAAAAAATCAAAAAATGTTGAGATATAAATTATAATGCGTATATCAATGTCATCAAATTTAATTGCAAAATATGACATACATATAGAGAAAAGAAGAAGACAAATATCATTAGGGAGTAAGGTGAGCCATTTTCAATAGTTCGTGGTGCAAAATGAGCGAATAAATAGTATAGAAGGTTAAGTGCTCCGGCGAAAGGGGGGAAATATGGACTCTTTTTTTTTTCAAATCCAAATAGCCGTCTGTGGCATGTACTGAACTTTCTTTCAGTCCATCCATAGACCGAGGGCCTAGGCCCAAGCGAGGTACTCCAGACGCGGAATAAGTTCACATGAGGTCCCTCAACTTAACAGCGAGAATTTTTTTAGGTCCCTCAACCACAAAACCAGAAATGTTCGCACCTAAACTCATTCAAACCGTTCACAGGAGGTCCCTTCGCAGTATAGGTGGGTGGTTTCGCTTACGTGGCATCCTAGTCAGCAAAAAAAATATTAAAATTATGAGGCCCACATGTCAGCTGCAGTTTATTTTTCTTCTCTTTTCTCTCCTCTTCTCTTTCCTCTCCTCTCTCTTTGCCGGCGGCGAGCGGCGATGGGCGAGCGCGCGGCTGGAGTAGGTGGAGGGGCGGCGTCAGCACGCTAGAGCAGGCGGAGCGGCAGTGTCTGGGCGAGCGCGGCTGCGGCGGCGACAAGCAGCGGCCAAGCGCGACGGCGGGCAAGCGGCGGCTCCGAGCGTGGGCGGTGCATGGCCGGAGCAGGCGGAGCAGCGGCGTCTCCGGGCGCGGGCGGAGCAGAGGGGGGGGGGACGCGGGGGGCGCGGCGGGTGAGCGGCGGCGAGGCGTCGCCTCTTTCCCCCCTCCCGCCGGCCTCATCTCCCCCCGCTCCGTCCGTTCCCGCCGCTGCGGCACGCCACCACGCTGGGCTCCTCCAAGGAGTGCGACGGCGGCGACGGGAACCAGCGGCAAGAACGACGTGCTCGTTCGCTCTGTCCACTTTGTGTGCCGCTCTCGCCGCCAACGACGACGCGACCGGCGGAGTAGGCCGCCACGCTCCTCCTTCGGCCACCTCCGCCGTTGCGGCCCCCTCCTCCGCCTGCCATGCTCGTCCGCTCGCTTGCCGTCCGCTCTGCCCACAGCCCGTCGCGCTTGCCTTCCGCTCGCCCGCCGCCGTCCAACGCCGCTTCGCGTGCCGCCGCGCCGCCCGTCTCCGTTCTGCCCATAGCCCGGCGACCTGCCGTTCTTCGACCTCATGAGCATCCCCGGCAAGCTCATGCCCGACCTTGGGCGCTCGGCATTCGACCGCCACCCCCTTTTGATTCCTCCGCCACCGGCGGCGACATATCCGTCACCGCGGGAATCCCCTCCCGGAGCAGGAGCCCGTCCTGGATCCCGCCCCCACCTCCCGCCGCGGTCGCCCGCAGTCGCTCTTGCCAGCTTCGCCTGCCGCGGCCACACTCGCCCTCCGCCGCCGCCGCCGCTCTCGCCGGCCGTTGCCCCACCCGTCTCGGTCGTCGAAGAAGACGATAGAAGAGAAGAAAGGGGAAAATAGAAGGGATGTGGGGCCCGCACCGTTTTCTCTCACTTACATGTGGGCCCCACGTACTTTATTTATTTATTTTTCTGACTAGGGTGCCACGTACGCGAAACCACCTATACTGCCAAGGGAGCTCCTGTGAATGAGTTTAGGGCGAGGTTAAGGGACCTCGAGGGACCTCCGGTGAACTTATTCCCGAGAGATATCATGATGGGCCCAACTGCTTACATACAGTCGATTAGGCCGGCCTAAAACTTTTCCGTGTGTTCCACCGGCTGTTGATGGAATAAGTCCATTGTGCGTCCCTCATCTCTTGTGCTTGTGTAAATAACATCCCCCAACCGGAAAACCGGGTATAACGTCTCCTTCATCTCTCAAACCAGAGCAAATCACCTCCCTCAGTGGTTTTGCTGGCGGTTTCGTCCGACGTGGCGTTGTTGACCCGGTTGACAAGCTGACTCAGCGTAGTGGGACCCACATGTCATTCTCACACAGAAAATAATAAAAAAATGGTGGGACCCACGTTTTCCCTTCTTCTCGTTTTCTTCTCCTCTCGATTCTTCTCTCTGCTCTTCCTGTCGATGCTGAGACAGAGCCGGCGCTGGGCGGCGATGGGCGTGGCGACGGCGGCAGTCGGCGCGGCGACGGCGATGGCGGCCGGCGCGGCGACCGAGAAGGGCGGCAAGGCAGAGGCGGTTTCGGCGGAGGCGGAGGCGGCGCCCGTGCGGGCCGACTGGCCGCGCGCGGGGTGGCGCTCGGGCCGATGGTGGGGACTGGGGAGGCGATGGTGGCGGCGAGGCAGAGGCGGTTGGCGCCCGAAGGCGGCCACGACGCGATAACGACGGCCTGATGAAGACGGCTAGTCAAAGGAGCGCGCGAGGAGGCGGCGCCCCGGAGGAAGAAGAAACCGGCGGCGACGGCGGTTTCGGCGGAGGCGGAGGCAGCGCCTGTGCGGGCCTAATAGCCGCGCGCGGGGCGGCGCTCGGGCCGATGGTGGGGACTGGGAGGCGATGGTGGCGGCGGTGAATGGTAAGTGAAATGGGGAGGATGATGTGTTTGGGGATTTTTTGTGGGGGATTTTATTGCAGTGGCTTCGAAGAGAAGGAAGGATGGGTGCACAGTGGTGATGGCAGAGGCGACGCAGCGGCATGGGCGTGGCTCACGAGGGCACGAGGTGGTGCACCGGGTGTAGTGGCGTTGGCAAGGTGGACAGCTGCGGTGGCGTCGTGGAGTCCAGATCCAGTTGGCAAAGAGAGGAGGAGGAGGAGGAGGAGATGGTGGGGCAGCTGCTTGCTGCGGGGAGTCGTCGATCAGCGTCGAGGTTGCCTCCTCCGTCGCCGCTCCGACCACGGCGATGGCGGCCTCCCCGAACGGAGCCTCGGTAGCGGCGGGCACGGCCGCAGCCGCGAAGGGGTCGAGCACGTGCAGCGACCGCGGCCGCCGCAGCCAGGTCCACCTCCCGCGCCGATTCCTCTTCCGCCCACAACCGCCGGAGCCGTGCCTCCGCCGCTGCCCTTGTCCTCTCGTCGCTGGCGTCCGTAGTTGCCCATCTCCACCATCCGAGCCAGCCACCGAGTTCCCCGTCCCTCACTCGTTCTTCATCCGTTTCCCGCTACTCCTACCTCGCCGCCGTTCGTCGGCTCGCCGTCGTGCGTCGCCGGCCGTCGATCTCCCCGGTGGTCAACTGCTGTCGGTCCAAGATGACATCGCTGCACACTGACATGTGAGTCCCACCACGCTGAGTCAGCTTGTCAACCGGGTCAACAACGTCACGTCGGACGAAACCGCCAGCAAAACCACCGAGAGAGGTGATTTGCTCTGGTTTTCATAGATGAAGGAGGCATTATACCCGGTTTTCCGGTTGGGGATGTTATTTACACAAGCGCAAGAGATGAGGGAGGCAAAATGGACTTATTCCGCAGTTGATGGCTTCATGCCAAGCACCACGCCCAAACTGCGACCGCGGATCGAGCCCGCGGGCGGACACTGTTCCGTTCGTGGCTGTGCGGCCATCTCCACGACTCCACCACCTCCACCTGTAGCATCGCTTTGATCCATGGAACAATAAAGAACTCTTGCCTGCAACTGTGCGTGGCCGGTGGCGATGGCGACTCTACCCTAGTGTATTCTCCGCTCTGCCGCCTCCACCAGGACCACCACCACCTTCGCTACCCGGCGCCGTACCCTGCGCAGCCGCGGGGCACCTCGGCGGCGTAACGAGGCGAGGGGGATCGGACGCGCGCGCGCGCGCGAGGAGAAAGGCCGGGGGGGATCAGCGATGAGCTTCGCGGATCTGGAGGCCGGCGCGGTGCGGGCGCCCAGGAGGGCGCGGGGCCCCGACGCCACGCGCGCGCTCGTCTTCCAGATCACCACCGCCGTGGCCTCCTACCGCCGCCTCCTCAACTCGCTCGGGACGCCCAAGGACACCCCCGCCCTTCGTGACCAGCTGTCTCTCCTCGCTCCCCCCCACTCCTCACTCCTTTAATTGTTGTTTGCCTCTACACGTTTCATGTCCTAGAATGCTAGATGCTCGCGATTATTATTATTTTTTTGGCTCAGCTCAAGTTAATTGATCGAAATTGTGATGGTTGGTAGCTCATGCCCTCGAGGCATGTCGTTTACCATCACTCTGGTGTTCTGATTGGTTGATTTCTCCACAGGCAGAAGACTAGTCATAACATTCTTCAATTGGCAAAGGATGCGAAGGAGAAGCTCAGGAGAGCTGCTGAGGCAGACAAGAACGCCGATACTAGTGTTAGTAGTAATTTACTGTTTATTTATACCCTTTGTTTTAGCCCAGTGAATTTGTCTTGGACAAGACTGTTTCCAACTATATGTGTGATCATGTATGCATCTTTCTGCTCTTAGTTTACTTAGCTACCATAGTGATTAGGAATCTGGGTATCATGTGCAGGCAGACAAGAGGGTTGCTGACATGAAGCTTGCCAAGGATTTTGCCACGACGATGGAGGAGTATGGAAAACTTCAAAATCTTGCGATTCAAAGGGAGATGGCATATAAGCCAGTTGTTCCCCAGACATCTCAGCCAAAGTAATGCTTGTACACTTTTCATTCGATTCATCTCAAACTTTTCTCTGTATTGTTTGATTGTTTCATTTTCCTGCCATGATATGCCATTGGTTTTTAATAGTATACCGACGAATGGCCATGTGTAGAAGTTAATTTACATGCACATGTTACTTATCAGTGGCTTCCACATGGATTCTAACAAATCTATCTATTTATCTATCTATAAAAAGGAATATAAAAAGGAGCCTCCACGTTCGCTCTCACGGCCTAGAAATTCTCATATTAATCGGAGAAAAAGAAAAACAGAGTCCATATGGAAATACAATTTAGAAATACTTGAAATTCGGAATTAAAAAATAAGGAATATTGGAAGAGGAGACTAGAGTCCATATAGAAATACAATTTAGAAATAACTGAAATTCGGAATAAAAAAAAAAGAATTTTAGAAGAAGAGTATAGAGTCCATATAGAAATACAATTAAGAAATAATAGAAATTCGGAATTAAAAAAAATAAGGAATATTGAAAGATGAGTTTAGAGTCCATATAGGAATTTAAAACTAACTAAAATTCGGAATAAACATAATAAAACTAAAAGTAGAGTTTAGAATCCGTATAAAAATACAATTTAGAAGTAACTGAAATTCGAAATAAAAAATTAAAGAATATTGAAAGATGAGTTTAGAGACCACATAGAAATACAATTAGAAACAAAAAAAAAATCAGAATTAAAAATAAATAATATTGGAAGAAGAGCGTAGAGTCTATATAGAAATACAATTTACAGATAACGAAAATTTGGAATTAAAAATAAGAAATATTGAAAGACGAGTCTAGAGTCCATATAGGAATATAATTTAGAAATAACTAAAATTTGATATTAAAAATAATTAATAACTAACACGTATATAAAATACAATATGAATATTACACATTAGTAGTTTCGTAAAGTTAGTACAAAATTTAAAATTATGTTGTCATTTTAATATATTTTAATAATAAATTGAGAAAACATATATGCTATTATATGAGATAAAATATAGATGCTAGCCGCAATCTGCACGGGCCACCATGCTAGTTACTAGTATAGTAATAACCAATTCCTTTGCCCTCATTGCTTGATAAAAGAGTTTGGTTGAATAATCTGATTGTCGGCAGAGGCTGGAGATGTAAACCATTTCTATTATCTTAAAAAAAGTTGAATAATCTGATACTGTTGTGTATGGGCCATTTTGGTTTGGTGCCAATTTTTGCCCTACCAATTCTTTGGTAGTTTTGAATAGTGCATGTTAGCATTTTGGATTGGAGCCAATTTTTGCCAAATCAATAGAGTGGAGCCAAATCTATGCTATCAAAAATTTGGTAGTGCCAAAATTTACCCAAGGTTTGGTACCAGTATTTTGATAGGGTTTCAAACCAAACTAGCCCTATGTGAACCATTGGCCAAGTAATACTTCTCACAACTTTTTGGCATAGTTTGTTACTGTGTTCATCATGATCCATTTCATTTGCTTATGCTGCAACCTTCTAGGATTCTGCCTAGCTTATATTGGCATTTTTTTCTTTGAATAGGTCATATAACTTTGCCTATGTTATTGCTCCATTAGCTTCTCTTCCTTTGAAGTATGGAGATGGGTCTTATTATTTTGCATTGTAAAAACATACAATTTAACTAATTTAAAGACACATTGCCTTCTCTTTGTCAGTGTCATGACCATCCGTTTTACTTGCAGTTTACCTGATGACCTCATTTAGTGACATGGTTTATCTTAAAACTAAAGGTATTCATGTGCAGAGTTGACTGGGTTATCTTCTAATATCTTTGAGAATTTTGGTCACTATGATGTAGCTATACTACAGGTGGTATAGAAGCCAGGGATTCTGGTAAAATTCCTGAACAGCATGCGCTACTCGCAGAATCAAAGAGGTCAGTGTTCTCATAGCTCTTCTTTTTCTGCTTATTTTTTCAACTAGTGATTTAGTACTTACTGGTGGAAGGTCAGCTTTAATCGTATAGCGCATGTTTTTTCATTCTATCCCATCAGAAAATATTCAATTTTAGTGACTTCCTGTGGCTGAGTTTTCATCTGTGGTGCATGGAACTTACATAAGTCGCGTGGCACGTCATTTATCTCATGGGCAGTATATCACCTCATGAATTATATACCTGGCACACTTTCTATGTCTTTTTGGGAGAGTACATGCACCTAAAATCTGTTAGATCAAATGCTTCTGCTGGAATACATAGGCCAAGTGGCCATGCATTATTTTGACCGAGCCTAGATTGTGTGGCAGTTACAGTAAATTGCAGTGTTGGTACTTTACACAGATTGCCTTCCACATGTTGGTACTTCACACAGATTGCTTGTCGCATGAACTGAGAGCCTTTTCTACATTAGAGAAGGATGGAGAGAATTTTGACTAGACAAGGCTGTCTTTGATGTGACCCTGAAGAAAAAGAGTTGCATCTTATTTTGATTGATATTCATGGTGATAAAATACGACATGCAAGATTTGGTAGAATCACTTTTCCTTACATCTCTGCTAAGTTATCATGTTTTTCTTCAGGCAAGAGGTGCTGCAATTGGATAATGAAATTGTTTTCAATGAAGCTATCATTGAGGAAAGGGAGCAAGCTATTCAAGATATTCAACAACAGATTGGTGAAGTACATGAAGCATTTAAGGATCTTGCTACACTTGTGCATATTCAAGGAGTTACAATCGGCAAGTTTTACATTGCACTGTACATATCATGTGTTGTTCCTGTGCTTCCTAGTTAACACGTACATCTTTTATTACAGAGGAAATCGATACAAACATTGAGAATTCTGCAGCAGCAACCAAAGAGGCAAAGACAGAACTCGCGAAAGCGTCCAAGACTCAGAAATCGAATTCATCACTGGTATGTTCAGGCTAGTGCAAATTTCTTAAGCTTTTGCTATTGTAACCATTTCTCTACCTTGATAAATCATCTTGTTTGCAGCTCTGCATTCTTCTGGTGATCTTCGGGGTTGTCTTGCTAATTGTGATAATAGTTTTGGCAACTTGAGGCGCGACGTAGAGATTACTGGTGCACTCGGTAGCATATTTAAAAGCCATCTGCATCGGTCCTTGATCTTCTCGAAGTGCAAAGACTGTCGCTCACGAAACTGTACAAGTTTGTTGTTTGTTATAGGTTTTCTGAATTGTGAGTTCATTTCCTGATGTCATGCGTGAGTCTTTTTTTCATGGCTTGCCTTGAGTGAACAGTGATGCTCTTTTATTTTGCCGACGAACTTTCACTTTGTAAGTATTTTCAGTGAATAAAAACAAAAGAGCAACTAAGTTCTGTCTTGTAAACCCCCGTAAAATAAACTTGTCGTTGTATCATCAACGCCCTCACACTTCAGTGGCTTGGGTTTCATACGTGGAATAAATATGGATTGTGTTTTTTGTGGGTTGTGGTTTTTTTAAATTTTAATTGTGCCATCTATTATTAAAGTTCCCAGAGTACTAAACCTCGCCAAAGAAAGTTGTTGGAACGAAGCCAAAGATGCTATCCAGGTGACAACCCTTGTGAAATGTTGTTAACTTTGGCAGTGCATTTTCTTTTGGTGCTGCAACTTTCCCGGTGACCAATCAAAGTCTTCTTGTGGAAGAGGCAGGAGGAGGTTAATGAGGGCATTGTTTGGTAGTTGGTACCTCTCCCTATCCTACAGTAATATTATATGTTTTTCCTCCCATCTATCATAAAATTAGTTCATTTTCAAGCAACCATTGCATCCGAGTTTGTATAAAAGTAGAAGATAAAATACATTGAAAGTGGATAAAAAATAAGGTATTTTAGTTACATTGAGAGTGGATAAAGTGAGAAATAGTTACATTACGATTTGATAAAATAAGGTATTTTAGTTTTTTTAGTTTTATGTTGGCATATGAAATGGATAAAAAATAAAGTTATTTTATGATGGACGGTAATAGCATAGAGCTCCATGTGTATGCAACTGATATTATCCGTGCATCAAGGATCTGAAACTGTTCTAAAAGGTTTTGTGGTTAAAGTGGCTAGTGAAAGGCGAAGTGAGTGTAACTCAACGGGTTAATTTTCTTATGGTGGATTTAGGCTGCTTTTGGGAGTGAGGGTTGTCCTGGCACGGAAAACGGAGCAGCGATTAACAAGTGATTAATTAAGTATTTGCTATTTTTTCAAAAATGGATTAATATGATTTTTTTAATTATTTTTTTTTTGCAAAAAAACACCCTTTAGCAGTTTGAAAAGCGTACGCGCGGAAAACGAGTGAGGGAAGTTGGGAACGGGAGGTAACGAACGCAGCCTTAGCTTACCTGGGTTCAAGTTCTAAATATATCCATCAATAGCGAGGCGTTCATGGTGACTTCATCAATCTCAAGACACAGCGATGCGTCCATAGTGACTATCAACCTCAATACATGCTGACCAGTTTTTTTTAAGATGTGTTTATAGGTGAATGATGTGCGTGTGTACGTTCAGATGATAAGTGTACGCACGTTGTGAGTGGTTGTGTTTGTACTATATTTTTTTAAAAAAATGGCTAATGAAATCACTTGAGCATCATGATCGACCGTGGAAAATGTTACAACTCAGCGAGGGATTTGGAAACATGTTTTGAGAATCAACAAGGTTTGTCGTTGGAAACGGCACGGAACTAACTTTTGGAAGGCTGATTGGTCGACTGTTTGTCGTTGGAAACGGCGCGGGGCATCCAGCTCTCAATGCCGTCCTTGTTCAGTCATGTAGTTAGGCCAAGGTTTACAGTGGCACAAAGGCAGCGTGATAATTGTTAGGAACGTGATATACTGATATACAAGTGGCACCCTCCAATATAGAGCGATTGGTGAGTACGGAGTGAGTACCTAGTTCCGTGGGACGACGTCCAGGAGATCGAGCTGCACACAAGGAGGACCGACCAGGTTCAATGGGCAGCGTATCCTATACACACAGGCCTTAACACGGTCTTCGAAATGCTACTTTAACCAAAAATGACTACAAAAGTAAAATATTTTAAATAAAAAGACTTGCATACTATGATAGTAACATTAAATTTACATGATTTATCTTTCTTAATTTATCGCTATTAATAGTCAAAATTAAAACAGTTTGACTTGGCACTATTCTAGAAATGTTTATATTTTGGGACGGACGGAGAAATAAAATGGCAAAATTTGCTACAGGACACCGAAAGATTGCGGCCTTTGCTGTGAGACACCCAAAGATCGTGTATTTGCTCGTGGACACTGTAAAAATGTGGTAATTAGCTGGCGGACACCGGCCGCATTATTTTATCATTTCCGGACGGAGAGAGAAACTTTGATTAAAGACAAGTTTACCCATGGGCCCACTTGTCAATCTCTCTTTCTCTGTTCATCTTCTTCCTCTCTTTCTTTGTTCATCTTCTTCATCTTCTCTCTTTCTCATTGCACCGCCACCGAGCTCCGCCGTGGCCGAGCCGTCGTGCGTCGTCGCCGTCGACAGTGAACCTCGGCGATGCGCCGCCGCCGCCTCACCGTGGCCGAGCCATCCCATGGTGACCCCATCGTGGCCGAGCCGTCCTAGTTGCGAGCCACGATGCGTTGCCGCCGCCGCCACCCCGCCGCGGCCGAGCCGTCGACTGAGCCGCCCCGCCGCCACTGCCATCGGCGAGGACGAAGAAGCCGTTGAGAAGTGCGCGCGCTTATTGGGGCTCATCTCGCCGGAGAGCTTGAAGATGGGGGACTTCTGTGGTGGGGATTGGAACATAGGGTTGGTGGGGGCGGCGGCGCCTCCGCGTGCTGGTGGCCATGGGTTTGAGGTGGGACAAGGCGGAGAGGTCAACGAGAAGGGCAAGGAGCGCACCGACGAGGGAGAAGAGGCCGGAGAAGGGGAAGTCCCGCCAGAGGCGTCGCGTGGCAACGACGCAGTCGGCGGCGGCGGCACTGCCAAGCGTGCGCCGCGCTGGCGGTGAGACGCCGGTGCTGATGAGCGGCACGAGGCACGACGCGATGGCGATGGTGAGGCTGACAAAGGTCAGGATGCTGTTCGTGCGGTGCGGTGGCAGCGTGAGGCACTCGTCGGAGGAGTCTGTGTTGGACGACGACATCTGGGCCGCCGCGAGGAAGAAGGGGAAAAGAAAAGAAGAGAGAGAGAGGAAGAACAGTGTCAAAGGGTATTTTGGTACTTACACAACTCTTTCTCTCTCCATTTCAACTGAAAAAATAAAATAATGGGAGGAGTGTCCAGTAGCTAATTACCATATTTTTACAGTGTCCATGAGCAAATACACGATCTTTTAGTGTCTCACAGTAAAGGCCACAATCTTTCGGTGTCCTGTAGCAAATTTTGCCTAATAAAATAGAGCAGGGACTGAATCTTCAAGTCAAAGAAGAACATAGTATTATAAAATATATACATATATCTGCAAACACAAGATTTTCGTATAACTTCGATTACCTGCATTCTAATTAATCGTTGAACGGTATTATGTTTTCTGCAACAGTGGGCGGGCTAAGGTGAGATCAAGGCTAAGACGAGAGTGCCATCAAACGTCGAATTCTTCGTCTGGCTAGCAATCCAGGGAAAATGCCTCACAGTTTATAACCTCCTAAAAAAATTGATATCATCAACGAAGTTGTCACTCGTGTATCTCAGTTGATGAAGAATATCGCAAGCATATCTATTAGTTTCATGTGCTTACAGTAACAGTTTTTCTTTTTACACCTACTGACCTACACTAACAGGGTTTGGAGGCTATCAAAAGGCGGTGTTTCTTTCTAACTTCTTGGAGAGCTGGGGCAGGATTATTTGAGTGATTGGTGCCTTCTGGCTGGTAGCAAGGTGGGCTTTTCAGACGAGCTATAGGAAAATCCTTTGCCACCTTCTTCATGTTGGTATGTTGGCTGATTCGGAAGAAAAGAAATGCTAGGGTGCTCGAAAGGACGACCTCGCACGCCATGGTAACTATTCAGGGAAATCAAAACGAGGTTTAATTCTTGAAAGAAGTAGTTCCTGTAGTGCGAAATGTTGAGGTTACTAGTGATTGGTTGAGGTTGGACCACGCCTCTCTACAGCGTTCTATTGATATCATGTAATTTCTAATAAGCTCCCTTCCTGGTCTTAATGAAATTTGCTTGGCCGTTTTCTTTCGTCCGACCCGGCTAAAAAGGCTAAAGCTAATGGAGAAACGCAGACCATTCAGTTCAGTATGCTTCAACGTCAAACGCCAAAATTACTTTGAGGCAACGGAGGAGAAGGCGAAGTTTTCAAAAAAAGTTTTTTAAAAAAGGAGAAGGCGAACGAGCAAATTTACCTGCAGAGAAATCACCTACTTTTCCTCCTTGAACAGTTGCACTGGCCTGGTTGGAGGGGCGCAGGCTTCATTCTCCCCTATGCCCATATACTGTACCGGGAGGACGAGGTACATGAAAAACCTGGCCGGGCTTCATCAATCCACGAGTCCTCCCGCGCGACGACTCACGGTGCATTGGCGCCCGTGGTCCTCAGCACGTTGTCCTGCCTGCGCATCAGTCGGTTCGGCCAGCCGGCCGGCTAGGCGAGCGTGCAACGCTGCCAAAAAGCCAAAGGCCGAAGGTAAACAGCAACTCGTGCAACAACCACCCGCGACAGCGAATGTACCTACGAATGGTGCAGAGCTACAAATGGCGAGCGTGTGCAACGCTGTCAAATTAACAGAATAACTGGTTTTGGCTTCTCCTGGCAGAGGAGTAGATCAGGACACTCGAGTTACAGTTGTACGCGGCCACGCAGTTATACTTGGCAGCTTAGCCGCTACGCATTCCTCTCGATGTCTGTACGTGACCTTGTCCTACTCCATGGAAGACACCGGGCTTCATTTCGGAGGACATAGTAACAGTGACCGGTGGATTAACATTTGTTGCCTTCTCCATATATGCAACCAGACGATCCGGGACAGATAGATCATAAGCTCTAAGTCTCCATCTCCGACAATAATTGACGCCCTCGTCACTCACTTCCAACTAGAGCCACTATCGTGAACGCCCGTACGTGCGCCGTTGGCCCGTCCCCTGTCCCGTTAATGGATTTCCGCGCAACACCGATCCGATCTCTGTTTCCTCTCATATGTCGCCATGAAAGTTACCATAAAAAACCGGCCCAACTCCACGCTATATCGTACGCAGCGCGCGCGGTGAGGCTCCGGTCCCGGCACGCACGACGCCGCGCGCGGACAGACACGCCCCGCTCCTGCCGATCGATGCACCAAATCCTCCCGTTGCGACGACGACGACGAGGTCCACTTCCCCACCTCCGCTTGTCCACGGCCCAGCCGCCCGGGTTGCTTCAGCTGGAAGGCGTCTCGTGCAGTTGTACGAGCCAGGAAGTGAGAATTCAGTAGTACTAAGTTGCACGGAGCGAGAGCCTTGCTGCTCCCGTCCCGATGGCGACTGCGCCGTGCATGGGGGAAAACGGCGATGTGTTTGCATGTATTGCATGTGTGGCGTGTCCGCTCCGCGTGGTCGATCGCTTAGCTATACCGGAGTACCGGACAAGCTAGGCGCGAGCGGCCAGAGCGGTGGCTTGGACCGCGCACTAGCTGCCACTCGAATCGTTCGTACGTTGCCGCATTACACATGCATTTATGCTCGATCTCGTCGCGTGCCCTCGCGTCTGAAGGTACTCGTTCGCATGTGACCGTGCAGTGCAAAGATGCTACGCGTATGTGTTGATTGGCTACCTTGGCTGTATCATTATCTACCTGGGGACGCATTACGAGAGGTTGGTTGCAGAGAATGCAAGCGCGTTCAAGCGTTCATGCCTGAGGTGATCGTTTAATTATGACGTTGTTAATTATATGCGTAGGCGCGGCATGTAACAGAGGAGAAGATGCGGCCAAATCTGAGTCGTACGGCTGCTTTGTCACCCTGTCGTCGATTAGATCCGGGTTGTGTTAAGTTCACGTTAAAATTGAAAGTTCGGTTGAAATTAGAACAATGTGATGGAAAAGTTGAAAGTTTATGTGTGTAGAAAAATTTTAATGTGATGGAAAAGTTAAAAGTTTAAAGAAATATTTTAGAACTAAACGACGCTGGTTATTCCAGATGTGGCATTGGCTAGCTGGACCCTCTACAGTGATTCACAATGCTATGAGATCTGTAGCATTTTTTCTCGGTTTGGGTGTGTTTAGTTTCACGTTAAAATAGGAAGTTTGACTAAAATTAAAAGTTTAAAAAAAAAGTTAAAAGTTTATATGTGTAGGAAAGTCTTAATGTGATGGAAAAGTTGGAAGTTTGAAGAAAAAATTGGGAACTAAACAAGGGCTTCGTTCCCTATCTAGATGTTCTCGTTTTGCTGATGAACTACGGGTGTGTTTAGTTCACGCTAAAATTTAAAGTTTAGTTGAAATTGGAACGATGTGATGTAAAAGTTGGAAGTTTACGTGTGTAAAATAGTTTTGATGTGATGAAAAAGTTTGAAGTTTGAAGAAAAAAATTTGGAACTAAGCAAGGCCTGCGTTACACCGCTTCTACTCCACATGATTGCAAGCCTCCTACCTGGAAAAGTCAGTTGACAGGCCAGAAATGATTCAGTTTTCATTGTGGACAGTGTTAATTTCTAGAGAAAATCCCCTATGTACCCATGAAAGTTCACCTAATCCCTTCTATACCCCTGAATTTTGCTCAATCCCTTACATACCCCTGAATTTTAGTTTGGATCCCTTCTATGCCCTTTCCGCTAGTTGACCGTTAGTTGACCGTTAAATTCTTTTGAAAAAGTCCATTTTGCCCTTTGCTATGAAGAAACATAATAAATTAATGAAGTATATTGTTGGAATGTAAAAATTTATTGGATGGGACTATTATATTTATGAGTATGTGATGCACCATATTATTTGTGACAAATTTACTTTTACATATGATATAAAAAGTTGATACTTATTTATTATTAGTTATTAAAAGTTCTTTTATGTAACATATGTGTTTTCATAGTAATACAACAGATTTGTTTATTACTTCAGAACACATATGCTAAAAAAAATCTTTTAATAACTAATAAATAAGTATTAATTTTTTATGTCATATCTAAAAGTATATTTATCGCAAATAATATGGTGCATAACTATCTCATAAACATAATAGTCTCATATAACAAATTTCTATGCTCCAACAATATACTCTATTAATTTATATGCTTCTTTATACCAAAGGGCAAAATGGACTTTTTCATAAGAATTTAACGGTCAACTAACGGTCAACTAGCGGAAAGGGCATGGAAGAGATCCAAACTAAAATTCAGGGGTATGTAAGGGATTGAGCAAAATTCAGGGGTACAGAAGGGATTAGGTGAACTTTCAAGGGTACACAGGGGATTTTCTCTAATTTCTATCACATCTCTATATGATTGTTTAAAATCCAAGTCTTTTTTGTGCTTTATATAAAGTTATAAACTACTCACAAGGTGGCATTGATCTCAAATGATATACCACAATGCTGCCTAAATATTGAATCCAACGCCACAACTTCAATACTTTTACTATATTGAATCCAATTTACTACTAGCAGTATAAGTTTGAGAAAAAAATTCACATAAATACATATACTTTGATCAAACTATGTGTATCGTAAAACTACAGGTTTAATGTTAAATTTATCCCAGAACTACAGATTTAAAAAATATCATATCGTAAAACTATATATTTAGTGATGAAGTTATCAATTAAGAACTACACATTTTATATTTTATATCCATAACATATTGAGATTACAAAAGTTATAATTTTGTGATATGATTGATCAATGTACATGTAGCTCTATGAAATTTACTCTATGTTTTTTTTGGTATTAACCCTCCATGGGTAGTTTATAGCTAGGATGGTATTATTACGAACCTGTACATACACATGAGGCTTCGATCGTAGTATAATTTGTACATTTATTATCAAAACCTTATGGGCAGTTTATATAGAGTACAAGACGACTTGGAATCTAAATAATCCTAGAGAGATGTGCCATGATAGCCGGATCTTCCCCCAGTCTAATCGAGTACTCGAAACACAATTAACCGATCAGTGGTAGTAGATCATTATTAGTACTTTCAGCTGATCCGGGAATGGTGGGATTTGGGGTAGTTTGGTGGTAAACAATGGAAAACTCTGATAGGGGGAACAAAGTTTTGCGTGCATGTTTGCTTGTTCGAGCGATATTTGCAATATTGTTTGTCTGTAGCCTCACTTCCAGTACTATTTGCAATACCTCGGTGTTAATCGATGCATTAGTTTATGTATACGACTATATCCCTCCAATCTCCAGCCAGGCAGAAATTCAGGATTCCGATCCTAAAAGTGAGCATTACTCCTCCGTGTGCTCGCCCCGTAGCAAAACCTGGACACGGGTCACATGCATGCGTACACGTCGGTATGCACCCCTGGTTCCTCGGATACTCATCTCGATCTGTATACGTCGCATTTGGGAGATTTCTGACCCTCGCAAAAAGCTGGCCTGAAAAGGCCACGAAAGTGCGTCGTGAAGTGATCGGCCAGGTGAAAAGAGCGAAGAATTAAGCCGGGTGGTTCACGGTTCACCGGTTACACGTTGTCACGTTGCAGTCGCGACGGGGGATAATGACGATATGCCCCCCACGCTGGTTGTTGCCGATCGATCCAGCGTCGCGGACCGCGCGCGGTTGCAGCGGAGGAGCTTTGGATGCCGTGTGCTCCTGTGCGTGCAGGTGCAGGCGAGCCGCGATGGGTGTGGGTGTGGCCGCGCGTCCGCGAGAGACGAACGCACCAAAGTCAGACGCGAGGAATGGGATCGTGATGCACGTAAGGGGTACGGACCGATGCCACCACCACGAGCCGTTGCTGCAGCGGCACAGTATTTTATCCGAATCCACATGCATTCCTCCTCTTCCTCTACTTTTCCTGACTTTCCTCCTCACTCTCCTCTGCCACTTCGCTTGCGTTCTGTTCTTCATCTCCTCCTCCTCGGTGCCGCATTTATTACTCGACAGAGTCAGACAGTTCGAGCTTCCATTTCACACACACTCCACCGGCTCCCCCTTCTTCTGCCCCCTTGCATTTCACCAACGCTTACCTGCTCCATACGACCTCCAGTGCAGTGCAGTGCCTCTGAGGTCTCTCTCTCTCTCTCACACACACACACGTCCTCTGGTCACCGACGCTCCTCCTACTACTAGTACAGTGGTAAGCACAGCCATTTCTCCATCCATGCATCCGTCTATCTTGGCTTCGTTTTGCTACTTCGTTGATCGATCCCTCGTTTTACTTACCTTCGCCTTCTCTTGGCCTCGTTTTGCTACCTCAGTGATCGAGCCCCTCCTCACTTACCTTCGCCGAAGATCCATGGCGGAGGACTAAGCTCCGGCTGCTGATTTCTTCGCTTTGGACGCCCGCAAAAGGTACAACACTTCTCATCTTCCTCTGGCTCTACTGCCTCAACGAGTCACTGTTCAGTCCAGGCGATTTTCCTCTTCCTGCAATGTCGGTGAGCGAGCTACCGAATGGTCTAGTAGACGAGAAGCCAGTTTTGTTGCCAGTTTTGTCGCTAGGCTGGTAAACGGCGTCCTCGCGAGGGTGGTGCAGGTGCAGGTGAAGCATCAGCGATGCCGGGAAAGAAAAGAAAGGGAGAAAAAAAAAGATAGCATGAACAATCCCCAAACTTTTCAGCTCCGCCCACTTTATTACGCCAATCTTTCCCTTCATCAGGTCATGGCTTTCCGTTTGTTTCATGACCATGACTTCAGCTGCCTGCCTAGCTAGCTAGTACCTTTGGGGAAAGCGGCCAACAAAAAGCCTACGTCCCCGTCCTGTTCCTTTCCTCAACCTCCCACACCGCCGTCCAGTTCAAAATTCAAAGTTCAAACACCTCATCCTCCCTCCGGACGCTGCGCTGCACGGCCGCGCGGCCCTCCTCGGCCTCGCTGCCCTGACCGGTCAGCGTCACCGGGCGTCCGGGCCAGTGGGCAGTGGCAGCAGCCGTAAACCCGTATAGGTGGGACGCTCATCCCGCACCATAAAAATCCCGTCAGGACAACACGGGAGCGGTTAGCGTGATCCGACCCAAATCTAATCTAAACCCGTCCCCGTGGATTACGCATCATTACCCCGCATCTGCTCGTGGATTTTATTAGCTTCTCCTCTCGCTACGTTTGGGGTTTGGTTTTTGATGGGCTAATTATTAGCGGTGGTGGAACCTGAAAAGTCGCGTGTTTTGTGCTTTGCGTTTTGCTCGCTTGCCGTGTGTAGCGGTGGACTGGTGGCGTCGTTCGTGTCGCGCACCTTTTCTCTTTTTTTTTCTTCACCGGGACCAACTGGGGAAGAAAGATTTGGGGGGTTTTTGGCCGTTTCGGCGTCTCATCTTTCTTCTCGCCGCGCGCGCTCGTGTCCAGTCGCCGCCGTAGTTGTACGAGCGCTATCCTTGAGCTTTGGCTGCACGGGATTCATTGCAAGGGATGCGGTGGCCAGCGTCGTAACTTGCTCGTTTCAGATCGTGACGCTGTGGGGTTCTCTTTTTCAGTTACTGCTGCTACTGCCGGTACCGGCTGCCGAGGAGGGGAATGAGGATGAAGACGCTGGCGTGCTGCCGGCGGCGGCCGCAGGACTTCAGCATCGACATGGACCAGGAGCCTGACAGTAAGCCTGAAATCTCGAATCTCCCCCGTTTTTGTTTTCCTGCCTCATTTTTTTTTTACATTTCTTTTTCTGTTCGTGGTGTTCTTGCCCGGTTCATGTGCGTACAGCTGCCGCATTGTCTCATTTCACGGTGTATTTGCTCATTTCGGTCCTCATTTCTCAAGTGCATGAGTTGGTTGTAAGTACTACTAGCTGTAGTAGTTGTTAGTTGTTGGATCGATGGTAGCTGCAGCATGTCTACAAGCCCCGGGCAACCTGCTGCTCCAAATCTGGCCAAGATTTGGAGCTGCCTAACTTTTCTTCACAATTTTTTTACCCGCACAACCAAAATCCATACAGCAAAGAAGTAGGAGCACTAGTAGTGTGATGAAACAAAAATTTTCAGAGATATATTTTCTTCTAGTACTAGATGTGAACGTGATAGGGTCATGGAGTGTGGGATAGCGCTGGTGTCAGCAGCAGTAGATTTGGCACTGAGCAGTCACGACCAACGCGACTGTTCATGCCTCACGGGCCCTCCTCTCCTCTCCTCTCCTCTCCTCTCCTCTCCTCCCTGCTATGTGCTTGGTCTCCGACGGAGGCTGCAGCACAGTGCCATCAGCCACTGACGTTAGGAACGTGGGAGTAAATGGGAGTCACGAAAGATGCGGCAACTCTACGAGTAAAAAAAAGCAAACAAGAGAGAGCAAGCGAGTCATGGCCTCTGCTATCTTGATCTGACGCGAATCCGGGCGGCGCCGGCCGCATTCACGCCTCGCCACTATCCAACTGCTTCCGGTCTACACTAGTCTTGACTTTTACCAGCCTAGTGATATTTTTATACTCTTTTGTTTGCGTTTTTGATCTCTCTCTTGTATCCGTTAGCTTCTGGTGTGTTTGTTCATGGAGTGGTAGTGCAGGAGTACAAGACTACAAGCAGTAGAAACTAGTACTAGTACCTTTTATTTTTGGAGCGGCGTGTGTCGGGGACCAGCTAGCTACTTTCAGCTGGGTCAAGTGCGACATCTGCGGCTTCATTGACTTTGGAGGATAAAGAAGTAACGTAGTGGTACCCTGCTTTTTAGACGGTGAGCACTGAGCAATGTGAGCAGGCAGGAAGTTGGGGAGGAGTAGGGAGTATGACTTAACGACTAACTACAATTTAGAACTATAAATCGTGTGCGCCATGTGAGCATCTCGTGAAAGTGTAACATAGTTTTTTTCTGTAGGGTAGATAAAGAACCTTTTTTCTTTGTCTTACAGGGGAATCTGGGAATCTCAGTGGTGGTTAGCAGTAAAAGGGACCACTTAGAATGTTTTGAAGCTATCGGCTTTCAATGGGAGTGTCTGTTTGTGGGTTCTGTGGTGTCACAAGAACCTAGCCTGGTTTAATGTGTGCCTACCTGTGCTTATCCGAGCTAGGTTTTTAGTGGTAGCAAGCTTGAACTAGCGTAGTTTGTATGGAAGCGGAATGAATTATCAGCTTGTACATTGCGGTGGAGTGAGGCATTAAGCGTTACAGATGGCACACTGTACTATCTGTAGACAGAAGCACATGGAGTTGGCAAAACATCAGAACATTTGCAATGGCATACTCGTACTGTCATGCTAAAGGCATTTTTTTTCTCAATATCTTGAGTGTATTACGGTGTACAGTGCATAATTGCTAGACTTTTCTTGAGTTATTTGTGAAGTGCTCTTCAAAAGAATCATTGGGTCGTTGGGAAATATTTGTGTTAAAATGTATTTCTGAATCAGCACATTAGAGTATACTGAACCAAACCCTGATCTCCATGTCTGTGCATTTTAAATGTAATATGGCGGTATAACTAATTTTATTCACCGTTTTCATTATCGCAAGATCAGGCTCCCTGGAAATTCTTAAATTTATGTCGCATGGTCATCTGAATGATTTAAAATCTTGCCAAAATAAGTTGAAAATACCAAATGATGTAGGGGTGATGACGTACAATGGCCTTGAGAGCTGTATTATCAACAGTTCCTCTTATGACGATGATAGTGGCCTTAGTGCAACAACGGGAGCAGATGGGTGTGTAACCACTGATTCCGTTGATGATGAAGTCTCAAGTTGCTCCTCAAGTAAAGATGTTTCTAGCTCTTCGTTCTCTTCACAATGCCATCCACTGAGAAAGCAAGAGGAGCATTCACTTTACGAGTTGGATACACTCAGTGCTGTCCATCTACTTCCTCTCAAAGGGAAGAAGCCAATCACGTATACCTTGAGTGCTTCAGACATTGAAACCATGAAGGAGAAGTTTGGGAAGCTACTGCTTGGTGATGATGCTTCAGGAGGAGCTAGAGGTGTTTGTGCTGCTCTGGCTTTGTCCAATGCCATTATTAATCTCTCAGGTATGCTTAACCATTTGTTTGGAAACTATGATATTGTCCATTGTAGAATTTTTTTGGGTGAACTATCATCTTTCTTTCCTTTCTTTTTTTGAAGTATTTGTTCCATACTCCTATCATCATGACCAAAATGATCATTTCTTATGCCAGCCACTATATTTGGAGAACTCTGGAAGCTGGAACCACTCTGTGAAGAGAAAAAAGTCAGGTGGCGGAAGGAAATGGACTGGTTGCTTTCTCCTACAACCTACATGGTTGAGCTGGTTCCTACAAAACAAAATGGAGCAGACGGGTGCACGTTTGAGGTAAAGATCCATTGAATAAAGCCTGTAATTTCACTAAGTGCTGTGTCTAATGTTTCTTTTACTGCAGATTATGACCCCGAAAGCACGTTCAGATGTTAATGTGAACCTTCCTGCCCTTCAGAAGCTTGATTCCATGCTAATTGTATGTTTTTGTTATTATTATGTTACACTCTAGTAAATGAACATGCATATCTGACAAAGTTGCCATCTCTTTTCATTTTATTTTACAAATCAAAAAATGTTCATAAACCATCGTTCACTTAATTATGCAATGTCATAGTTTGTATCTCCTAATCCTGCATGCCACAAATGTGCAGGAAGTGCTGGACTCGATGGTAGACACAGAGTATTGGTATGTGGAGAGTGGTAGCCGAGCTAATGGCCGGGGCAAAAAGAATGGTCTGAGGCAGACGAAGAAGTGGTGGCTCCCATCACCTCGTGTGCCAGATATAGGGTTGTCTCAATTTCAGAGAAATAGGCTTGTTTTTCAGGCTAAGCTGGTTCATCAAATCCTCAAAGCTGCGATGTCAATCAATGAAGAAGTCCTGCTTCAGATACCTATTCCTCCAGCTGTCACGGATGCTCTTCCTAAGGCAAGTACCATTTCAAGTTAACTTGTTTGTGCTTCATGACAATCTCTGTGAATTTCATGCTTCTTTTCTCCCTTTAATTGATGATTGTACTGAATATATGGTCTTAAATTCTTTTGCAGTCTGGCAGAGCTGGCTTGGGTGAAGACTTGTACCATGCTATAACCACAGAGTACATTCCCATAGAGGAAATTTTCCTCTCTCTTAGTTTAAAAACGGAGCATACCGTGCTCGAGACTATGAACCGGTTGGAGGGTGCAGTTTTTGCATGGAATCAAAGGATCTCAGAGGAAAAGAGCAAGAAATCCCCAGGAAGGCATTCCTGGAATTTCATGAAGGATAGTTCATCAGAACTCGATAAGATGTCCATGTGCATAGAAAGGGTTGAAACACTTATGCAGCTTCTGAAATCCAGATTCCCGAGCCTTCCTCCAACTTTTATAGAAGTTGTAAAGATCCAATACAATGTGGTAAGTTCGCCATTACATAACAACCATTTGTGCTCGCGCAGAGCATGTAACCTTTGTCCAAAATGCATTATGAAACCTTATGAAATCCCTGAACATGTTTTGGTTCTGCTTGCTGAATTTTTTGCCTTTTGAACGAACTTACTACATATCTACGCAGGACGTGGGGCATGCCATTGTGGAGGCCTACTCAAGGGTTCTTGTTGGGGTGGCATTCAGCATACTGTCCAGGGTAGCAGAGATTCTGCTGGAAGATGACCTGATCAAGAAGCCCAACACCCCTCTGGCCACACTCAAGTTCGACCTCTCCTCCGACGTGTACCTCGCCGGCATCACCGAGACGCCGCCGGGCCACATCCGGCGGTCGCTGATGGACCAGATCAGCCTGGTCGACGGCAGCCTCGACGCGGTCGTCAGGAAGAAGGGGGTGAAGCAGCTTAGGTGGTGAAAAAGGACATGAAGCTGTGAAGTTTTTCTTTTTGGCAGTTGTACAGGGTTTGTGATGATGATGCATGCTGTGCTGCGCGCTGGCTGGCTACATAAAGTTGGTTAAGTTCACCTTGCTAATACGTCCTGTATGGAACGGGCTAAATAGTGTATGCATGGTAAAAGCTACTAGCATTGGCCGCATCGTACATCAACGTTTGCAGCGATCAAAGCGTGCTGTTGCGGTGCATTGGACCGTAGCCTGTGGTTGACTGCTGGATGGCACGGCTTGGGTGTGTGTGCGACGAGCAGGGTTTATCAAACTGTTTGGGAATAAGTTCACCGGAGGTCCTTAACTTAACAGATTTTGAGATCCCTTAACCACAAACTAGAAATGTGTATCTCTAAACTCACACAAACCATTCATTTAAGGTCCTATGATAATATATATGGATGGTTTCGCTGACGTGGCATCCTAGTTAATAAAAAAAATTTAAAAAAGTATGTGGAGCCCACATGTCAGCTGTACATTCTCTTGGGCGACCGCGGATACGGGCGGCGGGCGGAGCGACGATGGGCGACCGCGGATACGGGCGGCGGGCGGAGCGACGATGGGCGAGGCGGGATGCGGGCGGCGGGCGGAGCGACGATGGGCGAGCGCGGATGTGGGCGGTGGCGGAGCGACGATGGGCACAGCGATGGGCGAGCGTGGATGCGGGCGGCAAGCGAGTGCGGCAGTAGTCGGCGGGTGGCAAGCGAAGTGGTTTGGGAGGGAGGGGGAGGCGGCCGGTGAACCCGTCCGAGCTCGCCCGTCCTGCGCGCGAGGGAGGCAGACGGCGACCAAGGAACCATCTCCTCCTTTGCCTCTTCCCCTTCTCCTGCCGGTGGTGCCACTCCTAGCATCGTCAGCCACCCGGAGGGGTACGGCGGTGGTGGCGGTCGAGCACAGGGGAGCTCTCCGAGATGGACCTCGACTTCGGGAGGCTTGTCGACGAAGGGGAGGAGCATGACAAGGACGGGGTTACGGTCGGGGTCGCCGTGCACCACGCGGAGCCGGTGGCCTCTCCCCTCCCCCCGCTGCTCTTGGATATGTGGTCCGCCACCGCCGCGCTCATCCCCCGTTGCCGCTCCACTGCCGCGCTCGCCCGTCGTCCGCTCCGCCCGCCACCACTCTATCGTGGTAGTCCCGCGGTTAGGTGGCTACTACGGTTATCGCGAAAACCATATGGTTATCATGAAGTATATCATTGTTTCAAAAATTGAAAATGTTACCATATATGATAACCACGATAATCGCATGGTTTTATAAACCTCACTCTCGCTTCCCTCGTTCCGGAGCAAGACCCGTTCGGTTTCCTGCAGGGACACGGCGAGAGGAACGCGACACGGACGTATCGCTGTCAGCTGTCAGGTCAATATTTGGCGTCCTGGACGGGGGCTAGAGACCGGTGAGCTGATGACCTCGTCCGGTCGACCCCGTCGCCGAATGCTTCAGCGTTTGAGAAAAAAAGGGGAAGCGCAGAGGCGTTCACGGGTCACGGCTTCCACGGTCGCCCGGGTCCTCGAGCGTCCACGGGCACCGCCGGCGCGGCCGGCGGACGCGGCAACTGGCAGCGTGCTAGTCCCGGTTGGTTGGAGGGTTGACATGCGCCGTGTGGCTGACTTGCCGTACGTTGGTCGGCGTTTTGGCGTGGCATTGGAGATGGGAGATTGGGAGTGGGAGAGAAGGGTGGCGCGCTGCGACTTCGCGGCGTGGACTCCACAGGAGCTTTTTACGGTGCAACTGCACCCGTGTGCCCGTGACTCGGTTTGGTCTCGACATTCTCCTCGACTCCTCGGCGAGATCGTCGACGGTCAAAACAACGTGTCAGCTGCTGTCGCGTCGCGACAAGCCCAGAAACCCGTGCTCGGAGAAACACTGATCCCACAAATCCACTGGCGTCCTTGCTTTATCAAAGATCTAAATTCCATGTAGTTTCACGAGCTTTTTCTTTTCTTTTCCACGGAAGTAGTTCCACGAACTGTTTATAAAAGAACTACGCTAGTAGTTTCACATAAATGTATAGTGAAAACCATATCTAGGTGGTACCTGCAAACAACGGTATAACAGTTCTTAGAAAAATATCATACATATAGCTAAGATGATATTAGACAGCCCCAGAGTTGTAAAAATAAACTCATCTTCGTTTGTAAGATACTTGTCATTGGTTAGTTCATTTTCAAACTAACCATCGTTAAAAAACAAAGGAAGTATAAAATTGAGAAGAATATTGCTATATTTTAATTGTGTGATTTTTTGTGAAATTCCAGTCACATAAAAATTGTACACTAAATTGTTGCGATGTGCAATACGCCATTTACTTTTTTATGCAGTTTTATTGATATATATGGGTTTACTTTATTTTTATTTGAGTTTGAAAACTTTTTGTATGTATTTTTGTAAACCTTTATGTATTGTATGTTTCTTTTTTATGTAGCTCGGTGATTCTTTTCATATAGGAATAGTTTATTGCTTGACCTTTTGTCGAGCAATCCCCTTACCTCTGGTCAGGCTGTCGGGGGAAAACCCTGTCTTGGTTTCCCTGAGATCTGGATGGACAGCGGCGGTGGTGCTCATCGTCGTTCATTTTCCTGGAGATGTCATTTTGGAGGTCCCTTGCCAAAACTTCCTTCTGGTAGTTAGTGCAAGCTTCCTCTATATGCGTTGTTTTCTTGCGGCGGTGCTCTAGTTTATATGAGTAGGCGGGCTGTAGGGGGAGAGCGGATCCATTATTCTTTCTCACCCTCCCCCCTCAATCCCAAAGGCGTGATCAGAGTTGAGTTAGGTGCTTGGTTGTTTGGGATTGGTTTTGGGTGGTCCCGACTGTAGCTTCCTTGTTAGCCTAGCGGTGGCCGATCCAATGCTAGCCTTCTACTTGAGTATGTATATGTGTTGTCGGTGCGTGTGGTGGTGTTTTTTTTATTTCTTTCCTAACTACTGCCTTATAGGGTACTTGTAATTTTTTTCCTACTCTATTCAATGGATCATCACGCCCGTGTTGTGCTGATCGCTAAAAGAAAAAAATGAGAAAAGTGATTGATTTTTTTTCTTTAAATTTGAATTTCCTGATGCTCCCAAATGAGGAATAGTGGATAAGGAAAAAAAGAATAGTGTTTTTCTTTGCGATTTGGTTAGTTTTTGCATCCTATAATCAAAGTTGAGTTTGTTCTTATTGGATGGCTGTTTATTTAAATCTAAACTTCTTATTGGATGATTGTTTATTTAAATCTAAACTACTCCCTCCATTTTACATTATAAGTCGTTTGATCTTTTCCTAGTCAAACATTTTTAAGTTTGATCAAGTTTGTAGAAAAATATATAATAGTATTTTCAACACAAAACAAGCATATTATCAAAATATATTCAATATTAGATTTAATGAAACTAATTTGATATTTTAGATATTGCTAATTTTTTCTGTAAACTTGATCAAATTTAAGAAAGTTTCACTAGAAAAAAAAGTCAAACAACTTGCAATATGAAACGAAAGGAGTAGATGTGTATTTTTTTTACTTCTAACAAAAATGTTTTCAAGTTTCCATAGTATATGTTCTGCGGTTATATATTCAAATCCTGTGTCATGCATTAATTTCAACAATTCTTGGGATTTATTCATACAAAGTATGGAATAAAATTGAAAGCCAACAACCTTTTCACATCTACCAACTCTGAATATCGAACCAATTCTGACAAAGGCTGACCTAACACATATCTCTTTTTTTCTTTTGTTCCTTGAACGTGCTGATTTTTACATTGTTTTGATATTGGTACCAATGACGAAATTGCATTTATCTATCTTTCCATGTGATGGGTCAATCACATCGAATATATACACACACAACCCAATATATCAATTTTTCTAGCACTTGCGTTAACTTCTTGTTGGTTTCTCTATGTTGTAGATGACATGAATAATTTAAAATTTGAGCATCATATGATGATATAAACACATCCTAAAGCTATAGTGTCGATGAATTTTAGCAACTATCTATCTTGAACACTCAATCCACTTTATGTTTCATAACACATCTATTGTAAGAAAATAAATATATTGATTTCTACTTAAGTTGTTTTCGTATTAATATCACTGACAAGATTGTATCTATCTATCTAGTCTATAGAGTGAAATTACGTCGGATATGTAACACAGCCTAACACGTCAAATTTTCTAGCACTTGCGTCCACTTTTTGTTGGTTTTTTTATACTTTAGGGTTGATGTACTCTAGCGACTACCTATGAACACTCAACCACTTTATGTCTTGTAACACATCTATCTCAACAAAAAGTCCTACGTTTCTATCTTTTGGGTCAATTGTTCACATTTATTTGTAAAATAGCAATAAATCACACATCAATTATACTATTTCGTTGTTTCCATTTTTTTTTACCAATAATGCATTTCACATATTTTCCCACTAATGGTATTCACATGCCATTCAAAATAGCAACGAACCATATACAACCGGAGGGCGAAATATGTACTACTTTCAGAACGTGGTCAACAAATTTGAAATTACCGTGTAACCTCCTAACAAAAAGAAAAACACAACGAAACACGAGTTGGTCTTTCATCATTTTCCACGTACAACCGCATGACGCGAAGATCAGAACGTATCAGACGGTCACCGTGCCATCTGGACGACAAAGCAGCGTGGGCCGGAGCACGTGACGGCGTCGTCGATAATTAGAGGCCGTTGCTGCTGTGCTTACCACTGTGTGCACATTGTCATTTCACCCCCTTTGATTAATTAAAAAAAACTCGACGCGTAAAAATATATAGAAGTACTAAGCTAATCGCTGGACGGAAAAGGGAGCGAAAAAGAGGCGAGAGGGAGGTGTGACGGAGACGAGCAAGGAAAGGGAAGAGAGAAGAGACGAAACAGGGAGGAGGGGATTGGGACTCGCCGCCCCCCTCTCCAAATTCCCCACTCCTCCTCCTCCTCCTCCGCCTCCGCCTCCGCCTCCGCCGCCGCCGCAGCCTATCCCCTCGCCAATCCGGCGAGGTAGAGGAGTGGGTCTCTTCTCGTGCTCTCCCCAAAACCCCGCGCGCCCAATTCACCGGGGTCCCGAGCTCCCGGCGGAGGCTCGGGAGCGGGAGCGGGCAGGGGCGGAGGAGATCGGATCGGGGGAGGGGGGAGCATTGGGCGATGACCG